AGAGAGAGAGAGAGAGAGAGAGAGAGAGAGAGAGAGAGAGAGAGGGNGAGAGAGAGAGAGAGAGAGAGAGAAGAGGAAGAATGATGGGGGAGGATTGGGCGCAGGGTGAGGCGGGAGTGGTGGGGGTACTTGGTACCTGTGCTCCTCGTGGTGAACTGCCTATTGGACCTGGTACCCTATACTTCTGGATAGGACTTGGCCCACTGCGAAAATCTTATGCGTTGTTACTTGAAAAATCATTACAATCTTCAATTGATTCTCATTTCTTCTTCTTCTTTACAGAGATTTTGTTTAGATTTTCTCGAGTCTTTCCTATTCGAGTCTTTCCTATATATAATGGCTGTGGACACATCTCTGGGCCTTGCTTGATGCATGCACTGTGGACAAATAATTTGACCACAGGGCTTTGTAAAGAACCACCTTGGGAGGTAAGGACACCTTAAGCAAATAGCCAGTGCTTTTTGGTTCTAGGATTTGAAGGCAACAATGTAGGCTGTACGGAATAAGCTGTAAGCTGTGCTCTGTACGGAGGACTCCATCCTCCATACGCGGAGTACGTGCTGTAGACCTCATAAATGAGGGGGCTGGTGTTTGGAATCAGGTACCAAGTACGGAGTACTCGGAGTACTCTGTATGGTGGATCGGTTTCGCATCTTCAAGACATGGTCTCCAGCTGTTCACTCCATGGCTGCAAGGGCTTGTACAGAACAGAACGGAGAACGGCCAGCCTGCGTATAGAAGTGCAGCTGATGGTCGTCTGCACTAATATTCTTCAGCATATTTTTTTTTCTTTTTTGTTTAACTTCCAATCAGGTTTGAAGTGGCTCGGGCCTCGAAAAGTAAAAAGGTCCTTTCTTCTCTTTCCCTTCAGTGAATTGGTTTGTTGCGTCCAAAGAAACCCGGCTTGGTACGGGTACCTGGGTACCTGGGTACCGTAGATCAGCGGTCGCATTTTCTTATTGTGCGGTCTGGGTCTCTGAAGCCCCGGAGCCCGAGCTACCCAACGAGAGAGGCAGGGCCAGCCTATATAACCCCATTGGGACCGGTGGAGGCGTTGCGGTTGGAGAAGCCTCACGTTCATCTTTCCCCACTGACGCGCGACGCGTCCAACACACGTGTTGAAAATTACTGTATACTTACTGTATACTTGCTACGTACTGACCAGTCACGTGCTGTCTTGCCAGAGAACCCTAAAAAAGGGACCTCTACTTCCTATGATTGCTGCGGAGTATACGTGACTTGCACCGTTGAACATTCTACATGTTGGAATTTATGGCTGTCTCTGAATTCTTCAATTCAGGGATCCATTCTCAACAGATTTAGTAAGATCTCATCTCGATTACAGTGGATAGTCACGGTATACCCGCAGAACTGTGGGCCAGATGCCAATCAACTCCACTTTCGAGGAGCCGAGTCTTACCCATTTACCTCGAAGAATTGGACTTCACCTTTTTTACGAATAACTCGATAATACTCAAATGGGTCACTTATAAAATCCAATTTGTCCCACGGCTTATAGACAAAAACCTATATCCAGTGTGTGTGAAATAAAAATGGATATAGGCGCTGCGGAGATCCATTCACTACTCTCCTAGGAAACCTAGGTCAACCTCCGACGCACGCGATCGAAACAGAATCTGAATTCGTGGGTCGGTGATAGACTCGACACCGTTTTCGATGTTTGGGGGTCGACCGCCGCTCTGCAGTTTCCAATCATACTTCAGGAGCAAATGAAGAAGCTTAATTTTGGTTTCATTGGCAGCGAAGAACCGGCCAGGGCAGGCGTGGACACCATGACCAAAGACAAAGTGCTCGCTTGTCATTGTGACAAACTGATGCTTGTGTTCGTTGCCAGGCTGGCGGCGTTTGTTGTAAAACCGGTAACCATCATAAGTCGCTGCATTAGGGTAGATACTATCATCTTCCAGGATTTTTGTAGAGACAAACATGTTGGCACCTTTGGGAATTACAGTTCCATCGGAGAGTACAATTTGCTTAAGGGCAAGGCGGTTCATGGAGGCTGTCATGGAGTGTCAATCAGCCATTCTTCGCAAAACAAAAAGGGGTGGGGGGAGGGGGAAGGATGGATGAACAAACATCGAGTGGACTTCGGAAAAAAATGTGGATAACTTACTCAATGAGAGTGGGTTAGTGCGCTGAGATTCCTTCATCACACTGTCCAACAACTTCAACTTGAGCAAACTAGTCTTCTTCAGAACTCCATCCTCGGCAGCAACCGCACAAATTTCATCGCGCAGCGGTTGAATATACTCCGGGTACGCCGCGAGATCATACATGACATTGGTTAACAAATTCGAGGTGGCATGAATGGCCGCCAGCGCCAATCCAACTTGAGCACAAGACTGATCAAAAGTCAGGTCATTCTGGGCTTCGGCGCTCTCATGATACCAGTCCATAGCATCGGGCCCATGAGGTTGATCATCTGCAGGGAGCTTGCCCGCGCGAATCAACACCCGCCTGTCTATCTCGCGGCTGATGATGGAGCGAGCCATTTCCAAATGCGCACGTAGCTTTTGGGTAGAGGGCAAAAGCCAGTGTACAACCGGATGAAGAATGGATGACCATTCTCGTAGGTCGCGCATAGCCATGAATGCATCGATGGCGTAGTTCACGGAAACATCAATCCACTCATTGTTGTGGCAGATGGTCTCTCCAACGAATATCAAAGAGGAGAGGCGGGCTACCATGTACGGGACCTTATGTGCGAGGTAGTAGGGCTTCCATTCTGCCAAGAGAGAACGCATTAACGAGAAGGGGACGATGCAAATTGGGTGTGCTCTGTCATACCATCGGTGGGGGGCAAGTGTTCCTTCAATATCGCACCTGTCTCCTTTGAGAGGTGAAGTGAAATGGACCCTATTCAAATAAGAAAGATAAGCTAACGATGTCACTCGAGTGACATATCTAAAGATGAGCATACCGAGAGCCTGGGTCAAACTGGTCCGCACAATCTCCACGGTAGCCTTTAACGCAGTGCCATTGTGAAACGGTTCAAACCCAGAAATGCGATCATCGAAAAATGTCTATTTGCAAGTTAGCCGTGGCCACGGGGTATCTCTGGTTTCATGATCGGCCTTTTTGATTGAGTCTTCAAAGCTCAAATCTGGATTGCTCTTGATTTCATCGACAAACTTCGGGTGCAATACAATCATCGGGCTTGTGGCTCCGATGATCTGAAAGACATTGGCGCCCTACGAAGGTCTGTTAGCAAATTTGAGGGCAGATAGTGGCGTGATGTATTCCTATTTAGGCGAACCTTTGCAAAGCCTTCTGCCATTAATTGACGAGAGGACCGAGTGAAGCGTTGCCGGGCCTTTTTGTTGGTAAGCTCCCACCAGGTCTTTCCAACCAAAGGAATATGTCTATGGGGTATCTCGTTTGCTATATCTGCCCAAACACTTGTTAAAAGCACTGCCATCAGGGTGATGCACACACTCTGTAAAACATAGGGACTGTTGAGAATTTCAGTGATGATTGCCATAGTCAAGGTCAGGACTGAAAAGCGAGGAAGGGGGGACAATGGAAGCGACACTCCAGATTTCTAAGAACTGATATTCTCCGAGGATTTTCTCATTTATCATAGTTACCGAGCCATCAACCAGTCAGGGAGACTCCATTTTCCCACCAACCGACATTGGACTGGATATTCAAACCAGGGGGGGCCCAAGCAAGTATCAAATGCTTTCAAGTTGAACTGCACCGAGCCAAAGACAAGCGACGTTAGAAAGTCGCAGGTCCAATAAACTCTAAGCGACCAGCTCCATTCACCAGAGCACCAAACCTCCGAGAAACATAATTCTTGATCTACACCGATATATGCCTAGCCGGAAATGCGAGAAAGAGAGCCAAATTAAGCGATCCTTACCCGAACAGGCAATTCTTGAACGGATTTCTATTCCGCCTGGATCCACTTGCATCTGTAGTTCCAATCTACAAGCGTGCCAATGATATTAGAGAGCTGCAAGTCCTGCAAGTCGAACGGTAGAATCATTAGAGAGGAAACCCGTTCTGTACTTCGTGGTACAAGAATAAGAAAGTCTCAGTGGCCCAGCACCAGAAGAGAATCTCCTTTTGAAGACCGTATAAAGACCTATGACAACCTATCAAATGGAACTAACAACTGTCTAACAAGCTACGACATATGAAGCATAAGCCTAAGATATGAAGCCCTTGGCTAGTCTCAAATAGCTTAACGGAATTAGGCTAGTGAGATCCATGGGTCGGATTTCGCCAAGACCCCGCACTCGTCTCGGTGCCTTCCAGGGTTGACTTCCCCGCTTTAAAGTCATCTGTCATCTTCTTCTCAACTTCACCTCAAGAATTACAGTGAATATGGGTGACTCCGGCACTGCTACTCCATACATATTTCCCACCCCTGTCGGACACAACCCGCCACAAACATCAGCCTCGTCTAATGAGATATCCGTCCTAATCACAGGCTTTGGGGCAAGTGATCTGCACTTCGGATGCTGTCAGTGTCTCACCCGAAACTAACTGTGTAACCAGCCCTTCAAGACCAACATTGTGAATGCATCATATCTGATTGCTTCCTCTCTTCCATCATCTTTCCTTTTCCCGTCGCCTAAAGACCACGACTCGGACCCGCGTCGAGTCTCACTCCATGTGCATCCCACTCCGATCCCAGTGGCATATGCCACTGTTCGAGAGGCTCTTCCCTTAATTTTGGAAGAATTTGCTGCCTCTCATGGTGGCCGCAGACCTGATCTCATTATTCATATCGGCATCGCAACTCCACGGCAATATTACTCCGTTGAAAGTTTAGCACACCGAGATGACTATAACATCACCGATGTTAATGGCCGCCCCGGCTATGTGGATGGCGAGAAGCGATGGAAAGGGTTGGGTCTGCCGCCGATTCTGACCCCAGGTCGTGCTGCAGATGATCCCTCCTCTGCTTCGCCCTACCAACCTGACGACCAGTTTCTGGAGACGTGGCGTTCCTTTGCTCCCGAGTCGGATCTTCGGATCTCCCAGGATGCGGGTCACTACCTGTGCGACTTCATTTTTTACACCAGCATGTCTTTGGCTCAGTTACAGGGCCAGGACCGCAATGTCCTGTTCCTCCATGTCCCTGGGGCATCTGAGGATACGAATATTGAGCAAGGCCGGATTGTCACACTCGCCCTAATTAAGGCAATGGTCGCATGTTGGCTTGACAAGAAGCGTTCGGCATAACCAGATCGCATTGCAGTAAAATTTGTCTGTGACCTATACCCCTCTAGGTGGTCTACCTAGGTACATTTTGTTGGGTTTTTTTTTCTTAAAAAAAATTCTCAATCAGGTAAATGGCTTCAAGGATTGCTTTTCATGGAATTGTATATATTTATAATTCCTTTCCCTTTGCTTTTGCATAAATTAAACACGTACGGTTTTTGCATGTGGCATTTCTTTAGTCGCCGTCTGTCTAATTTATACCTCTGAGTTCTTCTGTTACCGGACCTGAAGCAGCTACCGTGAGAAAAAAAATAATAGGATAAGGCACAGCAAGTCAACAAAATACTACGATAGCAAACTGAATGCGTCACATCTCTTTGACCTGAGCACCTTAAATAAGAAGTCATAGGAAAGGCGGCACCCTTTGGCAAAACCGGCTTGACATCTCGGTGGCCCGCATAACCCTAAGATCTTTCCAAGCAGCAAACATGCTTCAGTCACACAACATGGGGTCAGCGGTTATATTAGGCGTCATACTCCTAATTCCAATCCTTCTGATTCCTCGCTTCATAAGATGGCCCAACTCAGTCCAATCCCCAACCAAACTTCTCCGCCTGTGGCATCAGCGCCCCAAACAGTCCAGCGAGATCATCTCGTTACACGTGTACCCCATAAAATCCTGCCGAGGCCTAGAAGTCGAATCAACAGTTCTAAAACAGCACGGTCTTGACCTCGATCGCCGCTGGATGCTCATCGACACAACCTCAAACACTTTCCTCACCATCCGTCAAATCCCCGACATGACCTGCATCCGCACCGCCCTAAGTGCCGACGGCGACGAGTTGGTTGTGAGTATTCCAAATTCCGAAATCAATGAATCCAGCCACGAAAAAGATCATAAACATCAATTCCACACAATCCGCATCCCTTCCCATCCGACCCCGCAATGGCTAGCGGAAAATACAAACCTTGGCCCCGTCCACATCTGGGATACGGAGACAGACGGGTACAGATACAGCGATAAAATAAACGCCCCCTTCTCCGCCTTCCTACACCGCGACGTCGCCCTCGTCTATAAGGGCCCGACCCCGCGTGTGCTGAAGGGTAACGGTGCCCCCCGCCGTCTGGGTCGCGTCCAGACAACCGGTTTTCCAGACGTGCACCCGGTATTGATTGCGTCGGAGTCTTCCCTCGCAGAGCTCAACGTTCGTCTGGGCAAGGTGGGTGTGGACCCGATTACTGTCGAGCGGTTCCGTCCGAATATCGTTGTTCGCGGAGGCGCGCCATGGAGTGAGGATTCATGGAAGTTGGTTCGCATCACCGATCGGAAGGCTGGCGGTATCTCTGGTGACTTTGCTGGCGATGACAAGGCTGTCATTCAGTCTCCGCTTGATCTGGATGTTGTGGCGCGCTGTGCACGCTGCCAGGTCCCTAATGTTGACCCAGACACGGCGCTCAAGAATAAGAAGCAGCCGTGGGATATGCTTGTTTCGTACCGTAGGGTTGATGAGGGGATTAAGTACAAGCCTTGTTTCGGGATGTTGAGTGCGCCACGTAATGAGGGTGCCATTGAGGTTGGGATGAAGTTGGAGGTTTTAGAGGAGACGACTGAGCATCGATACATTACTGGCTTTTAGAAAAGGTTTCCATGGTATATAGCTATAGAACAGGGTATTACTAGCTTGGAAATTGGAATTTTACGCATAGAATATCTTCTAAATTCCCACTATTTACGATGTTTTCCATGGTTGGCAATGGATACCCTTTCATAGAATTCTATGGAGATGGAACACAACTTCCTAGGCCGATATCTAGTTGATAAATAAATACAATGGTGGTTCCTGATTTAAAAAATTGGGGGGAAGGGGGTGCTAGATACGATGGACTGTATAATACCTTGAATAAACATGATAATGACACTGACATTCAAAACTAGCGGCATGTCATACTAGAAACCTCTATTTAAAGTAACCCAACCTCACTTCAACTGCTTGCTCGCAGAAACACACCAGTTATTCCACTCCGAAAAGAACGACGGCTGTACATGACACTTAGTGCTCATGAGCTGATCCTTGCGAGTAGCAGCATAAACATCAACAACACCCGCAATAGCATCTTTGTCATGCGCAACAAGCACCCTAGTAACAAGTAAGCTGGCCTGGCTGCAAGCAGTCGCATGGCCCATAGGTCCACTATGGCTAGCCTCCTTATGAACAGACCGGAGCAGCTCCCAGAGTGCATCCGCCTGTGCATCGTCCTCGACTTTCGGGAGTGAACTACCCTTGCAAACCTTCGTGTACTCGCGCAGCACTCCGTTGGCCTTGGTGGCAATCTGCTTCACGCTGGTCCGGCGAGATAGTCGTAGCAACGGCAGGAGGATATCGAGCGCGAGCGGGCGGGTGTGGCTCTTCTTCACGAAAATATCTAGCAAATCCAGGACGCGGTTCTTGAAGTTCACCATGTTCTCGCGTGCATCTTTCTTGTCTTTGCGGTGGGAGGTTTCTTGGCGACGCGCGCGGAATACCTGCACCAATTTTTCGTCTAGCTCGTCCATCTCGTCATCGTTCATATCAGCGTCGGAGTCAGACTCGTCTTCGTCTGCGCGGTGTGTGCCGAGAGCTGCGGCTAGTTTGGCTTCGAATGCGGCAACTTCCTGTGCATCCTCTTCGTTGTCTTCTTCCTCGTCGTCGTCGTCGTCGTTGTCCTCGGAGCCGAAACCGGATCCACCGGCTTGGACAACCTCGACATCGCTGTCAAGCTCATCCTCGTCGACGTCCATCATCTCGGAATCGTCATCTTCTCCTTCTTCCTCGCCTTCAGCGTCCTGCTCTTCAAACATTTCCTGCTGTCCAGCGAGGCTTTCCTTGGCTTCTAGAATCTGGATCTAGTTAGAAAATGCAGGTCTGACACAAATTTGAGGCTACATACCGAGGTCAAAGATTCCAATCCGTTCTCGGTGATCTGGTTAGCAAATGCGCCAAACACCTGCTCACTCATACGGCGGAACAACTGCGATTGCTTGGATGCGAAACTGAGAAGGATCTCAACCAACGCATCTGAAGCATCGCCGGCATCTTCCGTCTTGGTCTCCTTGTCGCCCAGGAACTTGTTATGACAGAACTCCAGCTCATCAAGCATGGATACCGCGTCTGCGTCTCCGTTGTACACCTGCATGATAGTCATAGAGTAAAGCAACTTGAACGCGGCCATGCCCTTCTCCTTCTTCTCCTATGTGGTGTTGTCAGGATGAGTAGCTAGAACACCGATAATGGGGGAAAATGATACCTTGCTGGACAACTTCTTCAGAGATTTAAAAGCAGCCTTCACTGATTCCGACAGCTTCTCATCGATAGCGATGATGAACTTACCGAACTCGCCAGACTTGGCTGCATCGCGAATCTGCTTCACGACAGCATATGGGAGTGTAGCTGCGAACCTTTCGTTTGAAATGAGGCTGTTCAAGCAGGAGTTAATTCGGTTGCGCAGGAGTTCCTGTGTCGCCGATGAGAGAGGAGGCTCAGGGGCAGTCGAGCCCTTGCCGACATCCATGAAGTATGCAAAGCGCACGAAGATGGACAGAATCTGCTCAAGGCTTGCTTGGAGGTCTTCGGCATCATCTTCGTTAGCAGAAGCCTTGGAGCGCACAATTGCCAAAAGGAGACCAGCGACGAATTGACGGTTGGATGCGGCGGTTTTCTCCTCGGTTGTGCCGGGGGTTTGAATAAGTTGTTCAAAGAAGGGGACAATCTCTTCCAATGCCTCGTAGTTGGCTTCAGAAACGATCTTCTCGACCGTCTTGGTCTTTGTAGCCTGGTCGAAGTTCAGCGTGCCGCTGGTTCCCATCAAGCCACGGATAGCCGCAGCTGCGAATTCAGGCTCCTTGGACACACGGGCCTGGATTGCCTTGGCCACTTTAACGGCCATTCGGTGCAAGTATCGGTCCTCCACGGCGAGCTGGTTCGTCAAGCAACGCATAAGATTCTTGGTGAAAATCTGAGCGGCCTGTTGCGGCCCGCCATCGTTGAGAATTCTGTTGAAAAGAAGGAATCCCCAGTATTTACGCTCATCCGAGGATGCGGCAGCAAACAATCCATCTGCAAAGATTTTTCTTTGTTAGTTCAATGGGTCTCAACATACAAGTCCATCACTAGGTAGGTACTTACTGTCTACAACCTCAGTCCAGAAATCAGTGAAGGTCATACGAGACTTCTTCGACTTCTCTTTAGCCTCAGTACTGGTCCGAGACAGAACGGCATCCCAGGCGAAGTGAAGCTTGTTGTTCCAGACGCCCGAGGACTTGACCTTGGTCTCGCCGTCGCTGGACGCAGCACCCGATTCTTTCATGATCTTCGACATGCTGCTGCGCTCCTTCGTATCCAGGGGATCGTCGTGCTTCCAAACTTTGCTCGGGAAAGTAGCATTGGGGAACATATCCTTCGCCGCCAGCCAGATGGCAACACCCTCAGGCGACCGGGCAAGGTCGCGCACGCAGAGCTGTTCTAGCGCAGACTGGATGTACTTGGGTTCCATCTTGCGCGCGGCTAGGTCATATACACACTGGTAGATAATCCACCCACACTCTTCGCGGATCCATGGCTTCTTCTGCGCGAGCTCGAAAACAAGATCGACTACTTGGGTCCATTGCTCGAAGGGCACAGTTGGCTGGAATAGAACGGAGGATTTGATGATCGCTTCAGCGCCGAAAAGACGGCCAAATAGGTGGTCTCGTTGTTCCTGTAAGAAACGAAAGGACGTCACAATTAGCGCATGTGATGTTTGAATTATGTGTGGTGACCAACCTGTCCCGACTCGCTGCCGTAGGAACTCGACTGAGACTCCCAGAGGTTCAAAGCATCCGAGAAACCAAAACGTGATGTCTCTCTCGGCGACGAAAAGACCTGCGTTAGAATCTCTGTCAAGGCAATTGAGAAACCAATTCGAGCAGCTTTCCGGCTACTGCAGAGACCGCGGAAGAGCCTCGACAGCACCTTCTTGATCTGTTCATCGGCGGGGTTCTGGTCTGGAGTGAATTGCGACACTAGGGCTTGGGCAGCCTTGAGTCGGATATCATCTTTTTCACTAGCGAGATCCTCGTAGAGTTCCACCAGCTTCACGTCGACGTTGTGAGGTTCCCGACGGCGCTTCTTTGAACCGGCGAAGGGGGGGCCCATTGCTGTGACTGAAGGATTTTGAGATGGCAGATAGGGGTGAGATTCAATTAATGATCGAAGTATCCGCTCTCAAGCCTTGACAATGTAGATCTGAAAATCAAAGGCACGTTTAACACTCCTTGCGGCCGTTCAAGTTGCTCCGAAAAATTCACGCTTTAGCCTATCTGGGACTAGTGGGGCCGATAAGCCGATAAAGACTTTGGATGCTCCAAGAGACTGGGGTTGAACGGCCAATCGACCTGATTTAACCTGCGTGTCTTCTAGAATCTTCCATGGGATTTTGGAGCTTATACTCCATTGTTTGTTGGTTCTTTTTAGGAAATCAAGTGTGGTGCGAAGTCACATCGAAAAGGTACAGACACATATTAATATATCATAGCATCTGACCATTCTCAGCAAGCCTTCCAAGAGCCAAAACGTCTTTCTTCTGCTCATAGAATTCCAAAAATTCAAAACCACCAGTTCAAATGCTACGTACTGAGTCTGCAATCCTGGCCAGGCAACCTCCCCCCAAGCACCCAAAACCACAAGACCTAGAATGTCTCCAAGTATACAGAGCACTCCGTACCTCAAATGTAGCCCCTAGATGTCGCAGCAAAAGATACTTCAAAAACCAAGGAACAGATCAGGCATCACAACATGCAACCAGCGTTTCAAAAGATGAAAGGAATCGTCGTATTTGAAACTGTCAGAGAGACCGGGATCCAAAAAGAAGTCCGAACTGATTCAGGGGTAATGACGAAACCCCCCCCCCCCAAACAAGATGTTCCAGCCGGTTCAACCGCAAACCACCAGTCCAGAGGTAGAAGTATCCTGTTGTCAAAGGCAACCGGGATACCAAAATCCATTTATACAATCGCATGTCGCCGAAGAAAATCCGCTGATTGCGCTGGATCCGAGCTTCAGGATACGGGCTCCGCTTGCGCTGCTTTCGGATGCACCGACCCGCTCCGGGGCTGATCTGTATACGAGTGAAACGGACCAAGCGACATTCTTCGTTTATAAGTCGATAGGGAAAAGCACAAACTATGCATCGAACTATCAATTTGGCGTGGGCGAGATCATCTGACATGTGACAGAATCATGATTAAGGAGTTGGGAGGAAAAATTACCTCTGTGTCAGAATTGATGTGTTGGAACGGATGGGGGATCGTCCGTGGATCTGCATGGTTTAAGTAGTTTTCAGATTTTGGAAGTCGTACCGCTAACAGGTGGAAATGGAATTCGTGGGAATTGCGCAGGTGGTTTTGATGTAGGCTGATGGGTCTCGGAGTGATAATACAGGAAGTCCGGCGTCTTGGTGGGCCTGGGAGTCATGGCAACGGGTGTGATAGATGTAGAGTCGGGTGTCGGATATCCTTTCAGGGGCTTCGTGGGGTTGCCTGATTGTGCCACTGTCACCGTATAATACGGCTTTGTGTGACTGGTGAGGTTATACAGAGGTTCGGAGCTGAATTTGGCTGTTGGGGATTGGGAAGTGTACACGGTGTTTAAGTAACGACGGGAGTGGCTACAAGCTTAGATTAAGGTGATCTGGATACAGTTTAAAAAAAATAAGAATCCCCCATAAAAAATCAATCCAATAACCTATTCTATGCTACAGAAGAAAGTCTAGATCGATAGAATAAGGGTGTAAAAATATACCAGTCCAGCCAAGTAAACCCGATCTATCACGTTGGGTGTATTTGACAAGAGTGACGGACCGCAATCGGAGCTGTGGGATGTGCGGAGTCACCATGTTCCAAATAGGTAGTAGGGTGTCGCTAATGAGGTGATAGCACGATTGAGAGAGGGGAGCTGACAGGCACGAAGCCGACGAGACGCGCATAATTGACCGGGGCTACCAATAGCGGCGCTGATCGGGGACTCCGTGTCGGAATAACATTTTACAAATATAGAAAAGACCAGAAAGATACACCACAGGGTAAGGGTATTTCGAGTACTGGAGAAACGTACAATACCATACAGATTAAATCCCACAGTTCAGAGTCGTAAATCCTGGTCCGGAAATGATTTGATGTCATGAACGGGTCATCGCATTAGTTTCATCGAAGTTGGTTTGCTGTTGTTTACAAGCTTCACGCGCCATCAACAATCAACAAGATCGTGACATCACATGGGACACAAGGAAGGAGGGGGGGGGGATGGTTTGAAAATCCTGAGACAAAGAAGAAAAGAAAGGTCTAGACAGCCCTGACCATGCAGGAAATATCTGGGACACGAGTTGAAAATGTGATCAACCCCGCAGCAAAGCAGTCGGAGAGCTGACATGAATGGCCCCATCACACATGGCGCTGTGATGCAATTGACCGGTCATATCATCGGTATCCTCTCCGACCCCACTTTAGCTGCGACTCTGGAGACGTGACAAGAGATAGTGAGACCGGGGCAATTGAGCTGACACGGGCATGTTTCGCATCTGCAAGCGCTTAGAAGAGGATGCTGATTCGTGAACTTGCGTTCCACTGTGATGGGCCATATTCAAGCAAAAGCGCAATTCGAGGCTCTTGTCAAGATTTGAAGAAGTGAAGGAGTCCGTCTTTTAACTTCCAAGGCGTAGGTATTATGAGGACATCATTGTATTGCGCACGGAGCACAAATGGATGTTCAACGGATATGACGTAGCACCACGGGCCACCAGAAATTCCGCTAGGAGCACACCGCATCGTCTACCACGGGAGAGGTGTGAAACAATGCCTTTGAAAGATTCATACATAACGAGTAACCAATTGTAAAAATTGAAATGATCGAGGGATGATGTGTCTCGGATTGATCGGATTCATCGGATATTTCACCAAGGCCCAGCGAGGCTCAAGGTCCCGGAATTTCACGAGAGAGTCTAGAATAGTACATCGTGAGGTGCTCTGTACAACAATTGAATCCCGAGCCGAGTGTCCTATGACTGACCATAGCTGGCTCCAGCGACTAGCAGCAGGTCTATGACGATGACATGCTGTACACAAAACAAAAAGCCGATGGTGGCGACTCCGAGATCCCGTTGGATAAACATCCCATCTGATGTTCCGAATGGGACCGAGATCTGGATTCCTAAACTTGCAAATTGTTAACGACCCATACTCTTCACCGGTGGGTTGCCGCCTCATTATGAATCTTGACCCGGCTCGTCCTTACCGCCGTTGGCAGTAGCCCTAACTCCAGAGCAACAATGGAGAGGCAATTGATTCTCAATTGCTGTCGTTGTGAGGTTGTGAAAAGCGTGCCCGAGGTCATCAGACAGGACGATTTCAATAGAACTAACCTTCGACAAATAGTATATTGAAGTCAAACATCCTACCAAGGGGGATGGAAGGGATGCGCGACGTTGGAAGTCATCGTGAACCCTTGATCAACAAGAATGCCAAAGTAAGGGCAGCACGGGTATGTACGAGCAGAGCGCCATAGAGTCTTCAATTTCAAGGAAGAAGAAGAATGATTTTATCGACCATTCCTTGCTCGATACTACGTTATACGTTCCGATCTTGAAGCAATTGAACGGCAATCCACTCTAACCTACCACTTCGTTCTCCATACTTCGTGCAAGATACAACAAGGATTTCAATCTCGGATCGGCTCTTGAGAGAACGCAACAGGGCCAAGATGGTTCAAACTCTTTTGACGAGATCTTGAGATTCCACACACTCTATCTCTCACACCCCCGATAAGACGACTTCTTTTTACAACTAGCTGAGTCGAGCAGACAAGATCACACTATAGCTGTGTCAATGGATCCAATCCTCAAGTGATCGGAGCATTTCCTCGGATCAGATTGAAGCATCTCTTGACGTTGTGTCAAAGCAGGAAGAAATAAAAAGAAGCCGTTCTCAATCGAAGCACCCTTGCTTCCCATCACTTGCAGAATCTTTAAATCTTTTTTATTTTTATTCTCCCGAGAACAGGAAAAGTGGATATTTTTTTTGCATTAGACTCGATCTCATGGGCTCCGTTTTTTTTTTCAGGTTGTAGTTCATTGACGGGCACACACAGAAAAGGAAAAGTGTTTTGGTGGATACAATGTAAGAACCAAGATATAAGAAATAGATGATAGCGAGACAATCCTAAGCGCAGGGAAGACAAAGCTAAACCCAAGACATAAGGAAATATAGGTAATGAGCTCTGATAGGCGCTAGGTTGCTCCGGCAAGGGAGCCCCGGGCAACCAAAGAAAAAAAAAAGTATTTGGCCCCTAGCCAGAAGCATGGGGACTGTCTATCTTTTACTCTCTATGGTTATCATTTGCATACCTAGCTCTTCTTTTCCCCATGAAATATAGATTTCTTTTTTTTTTTGGTTTTTAGTACCATACCGGTTCTTTTAAACCGGTTCTTTAAATAAAACTAGTGGTTTTACTTCTCATAACCTCTAACTACTTCTATATTACCTCTAATACCTTTATTACATTGAATTTCTTACTCTAATTTGAACCTTTTTTTTTTAAAAAAAAAACATTTAATTAAAAATTCCCGATTACTTGAAAATCGGAGCCGCAGTATTACTCAATACTTGTACATTCGGAGATCCTCCCCACCTACGTTGCCCATTGCAACAAGCCCATCCCTTCAGCTTCACGACTTCTTTCTTCAAACTGCTTTGTTCCTTTCTCTTCTTAACTACTCTCGACATTCCTCCCTGTAAGAACCAATTTTGTTATTAGGTTCTATCGCCAATCCATATCATATTCTTGGACCTTCCACTCAGCCCTGCAGCCACGAGCTTCCCCCTCCCCCGACCCCTCCAATCACCGAGATATTCACCAGACTCACCTCCAAAAAACTTCTGAAATATTGCCATGGTCTGATAAAACCTGCATTTTACAAAGTACAACTCTCGCTGTTGGTGGTTAGGGTCTGGGACCTAGGAATTTTTTTTCCGGACTGGTTGTCACGGCGATCGTGGGGACCCATAACGTTGAAATTGCAAACGTGGAGACGTGCGTTTGAGACTTTTTTTTCTTGAACCTCAGTTTGTAGGACCTAGTACTGGGCAGGCATCTGTGGATAGGGCCTGATTGCCTCTATTCCATCTCCTTCGGTTGCTCTGACAGACAACTGTACAACGTCGGGCTTTTTGGGACCAGTTACAATTCGTCGCCAGCAATGGAGCACTCTTCGCCTCTCGCTGCGATACAGCCTCCGTCAGTGATGTTCGGCCATTGTTTCCGGTCAGAAGGACCGAATTCTTATTCCATGGGTTCAATGTCCGGATTTGGTGGAAACCCGTTCAACTTCAAAGAATTGTCAATGAAGAAATCTAGCTCCGACTACTTCAACATGAAACCCATTCGGGGTTCATCCCCCACAGCTAGTTTGGCTGCCGATCTTTCTCAAAATTTCCACATTGATCACAGGTACGCGGAGGATTCCATAGTGGTTTCATCTTCAAAGGAAGAAAGCTCGGCTAACTCTATATTTAGTCCCCAGTTGGCCACCCCACGGCGGTCTTTGTTTACGGCCAGCGTGCTCGGTCATACCAATGGACGTGGTAAGCAATGGTCATCGGAATCATTGGAAATAGTTATTGACCTGTTATAAAGATGATGTGATGACCACCCCGCCGCTCCCATCTTCACCAGCTCAAGGCATGGACGTTATGGACATGTCTCCACTGCCTCACAAGCCGGCATTCTTTGTTACTACCGAGATCGAGATACAGTCTCCGACACCTGGCTGTGGTCCAATGGAATCTCCAATGGTATCTCCGATAGCCAGCCCTCTGCAAGCGTCTCCGATGGAGTCTCCTCTTTGCCCGCCTGAGTAAGTCGCACGTGATATTGCGCCAGCCACCAAACTAGTTCCGCTAACCTGAAGTGCCATTTGACAGGAAGAAGCGGCCCACTTTCCTGCGTCCGAGTCTGGCCAGGAGCAAGGCTCAATCACTCCAGCTTGGAATGACCCGGCCTGCACCAGAGAGCAAAGCACCGCCCTTCCGGTTTGGAACTGGAGCGAAGACCTCTCTCAGCACATCCACTTCTCTGGAAGATATGTTTGGGGACTCCCCGCCCCATGAACGCCCTGCCCCTCGGAACATTTCTTCAACTCACCTCGCACCGCCTCGTATGCGGCCGTCACTCCACCATGCCCGTAGCAGCGGCTCCCCCGCGCCCAGTTCAATCCGTAAACCCTCTCACTCGTTGATGCGTCCCCGCAAACAGTGCCGGCGATCACTGAGCATGTTTGAGAACCCAGCAGATATCATTGCCGATAAAGAGGCCAAGGTAGCGACAAATACACCCGTCCCGTCCATTTGTGACATTTCGAGTCCGCCCAGCATGAAGCTGCCTCACTTCATCCCTGAGGATCGCGCGGACTCACTGCCTCGTATTGACAAAAGCACTCTTCTGGAACTCATGAACGGCAAGTTCAACGACCAGTTTGACCACATTCTTATCATCGACTGCCGCTTCGAGTACGAGTATGAGGGCGGCCACATCACTGGCGCATTAAACTACAATGACAAGGAACGTCTGGCCGGGGAACTGTTCAGTTCCCCTCAGGCCCGCACTGCACTTGTCTTGCACTGCGAATACTCTGCTCACCGGGCTCCCATCATGGCCAAGTACCTGCGCCACCATGATCGCGCTATCAATGTTGATACGTACCCTCACCTGTCATACCCTGATATGTACATTCTGGATGGTGGATACAGTTCCTTCTTCGCGGAGCACCGTTCGTTCTGTTTCCCTCAGAACTATGTCGAAATGAGTGCCAAAGAACATGAGTTCGCCTGCGAGCGGGGTCTTGGCAAGGTTAAGCAGCGCTCTAAGCTCAACCGCGCCCAGACTTTTGCCTTTGGTGAACAATCCCCCCAAATGGAGGACAGTCCCACTGGCCGTTGCCGACTTGGCGACAACGAGCGAAACCACTACCTCAGCTCCCCATTTTCCCAAAGCCCAGTGCCGTCCCGAACTCCCGGACGCCGAATGCTTTCCTATTAAATCAACCCTCCCGTACCTTCTCCTTTCTTTTTTTTTTGGTGATTTTTGCATTTACTTGCATTTTTATGCTGGGGTTTTCTCGTCTTGTCGTTGGAGCGTGGTGTTTGTCTGATGCATTCCAAAGATGCTTCTACGGCAGTATATTCTTTTCTTTTCTTTACCTCTTAACTTCTTTCGACCATTTCAGTCCTGCTGTGTCACCTGCGTTTTTCACCAATTTCTCATCTCTTTGACACCTGCTATCGGTGTCGTCCTCTCCTTCGCCGGCCTGGTTTACCTGCCCGGTTCGTGCTTTATCCAATATTTCCTTTGAGTGGCATGTGGCCACATCTCTCCATGACCATCGCCCACGATCTTCCTCGGGTTATCAACCGCCATGACTCCTTTAAATCTGAGTGTCTCATTTCATATGTCTACTTACGACCTCGCACCTTCAGAACCGAAAATGCGCACGAAGATGGCCTATCATCGCCAGATGTTTCATTTTCCCATATCTCTACTGGGAGGGTTTTTTTTCGACAACAATACCCCCTCCAACAACGATTTTCATCCAACATCCTGCCAACTCTTTGGCATCTCCTTTTCTCTCCGAACCTTCTTTTGACACCATTATCGCCCTTTAATCCACTATTTGGTCTTTCTCTGTACAGATTTTCTACTGTGGAATAATTGACATTCCACGCTGTACCAAAATTCACATCCCCCATGCTCAGCGCCAGGCTCTTCACTGGTTGTCTTCTTCGCCAGGAGCATTTGTATTTCAATGCATTGCCCGATACCTCTCCTCTTTGAACAGCATCATTGGGGCTATGCGGAGGATCATGAGGATGTAATATTGCATTGAGAATGGCTTTACAGCTGTACATAATGAGAATTGCCTGTGTACCGGCAATTTTTCTCTGGATGTGTTTCCTGGAATTTTAATGGTCTGGAAAGGGTAATCGGAGGAGATCACCAGTTCACAAATGTTTGATTTCCTTTTTGTGAGAATAGAAAAAAAAAAATCTGATTCAAAACAACCTCCGTTTTCTTAAATTCTTTTCTAAATGATCGACATCTTCTATTGAGGATTGTCGTTTTAAGTATCTCTGGTGATTGTAATAGGCGGAAAAAGGTCAAGGGCTATGGGGATGTGTGTCAACCCGGTCAACCCGGTCAACCCTGTCAACCCTGTCAACCCTTGTCGTCTCCCGTCGCAGTAATCTCACTCTTTTCCTCTAAGCTCCTCCAAGCCTCTTCTCACAAAGGCAGAGCCCAGTTGGCCAGAATCAATTTGTGACCCTGCGCCTAAAGCCTTTACATCCTTGGATTCCTGTTCTAGGGACCATCTCGTCTTTATCCGTCAATATTCTATTTTGGTAACTTGCTGCCTGTTCGATCCACCGTCTTGAACCAGCACCTATTTACTACATCTTCGCTCACAAAATGTTGAATTTACTGTGTGACTTTGCATCTACTCTATTATCGCTGTAATCGGACTCGCGCTCCGCCCCCTCTCGGTACCTCCACACCCAGCACGGTTGTACATCATCTCAATCATTCGCACCATTCACTCACACTGGAAGGATCTTTCCCAAGGCTGTTCTGCAGCCGTTGGCAATTGGAAGATCTCCTTACATCGCCTTCCGCATCCGCTATTTCTTTCCAAGATGAGTCATGCAAATATTACACTATGGATTCGAGACATTGCGAGTGATCTCGAGTCCGTTCCAAGTACCTTTTCCAGCTGGGACAGATGTATGGCCAAATCGTATTGCAAGTGAGTTCTTCCTAAGGGTTGCGCACCCTCCCTTGCCATTGGCGCACAACCTGACATGGTGCTAAATAATTGGCCCAAGGTGGCCCGTCATCGTTGGTATCATCGTCGGTTCGATAATTCTACTTGCGGTAATAGGTTGCATCTTCAATTGTCTCTGTTGTGGCTACCAATGCTGCAACTGCTGCTGCAGCTGTTGCTGTCCATCAGGCAGGCGCAGAGACAAAACGCCTAGACACTTTGATGACCCTCCGTTCCACCAGCCTCCACCACCGGCTCCAAATCCGGTCTACCAGGCGCCACCAGCCCCACCCGCATATAGTGGTGCGCAACAGACTGCGCATTTTGATGCGCCCAAGTTTCCGGATTCTCATATCAATGAGGACGCCCTGCCTGAGATGCCTACCTGGGCCGGTGCCGTTGACAAGCGTGTTGAATGCCCAAATAATCATGGCGACGTCGAACTGGAGCCATTGAATCCCCCAGACTTAAGGCGTTCTGCCGGTACCTCTGGTGCCGCTTACTCGGACTATTCACCCAACCTAGCCATCGGCGCGGCTGTCGTAGGATACGGCGGATCTGGGCCTACCGATCCACGTGCACGACGGTCTCCTGGCCCAGTAGCAGCATTGGATTACATCCAAGACCCCTATGGTCATCATTCGGCGGGCATGCCTTCCTCCGGGGCGGTGTTTGATCCTTATGGGAGCAGATCCCCGGGCTCGGTGGCACTTGCTACCCAGGACCCATACGGAAGACGTTCGCCCGGCCCAGCAGCAGCGTGGACTGTCAGTCAAGATCCGTACGGGAGGCGCTCGCCGGGTATCTCAGCCCTAGCACCTAACTATGGCGCCGCAGCGCACGACCCCTACGGTTCGCGCTCTCCCGATACACCAATCCACGCCCCTTACGATCAGCAACTAAACCAAGCCTCCTATGACGACCACTCCTATGGCGCAGGAAATGGCTACCACGTCGTGACCGCACCCTCGCCCGTGACTGCATACAAGCCGCACACTAACTACAGCCCCGTGCCAATGGCCTTCTCTTCATCTTCGGAGAGAGATCATTCCACGGCCGCGGCCCCAGCACCAGGCTTTCAGCGCCAGCCTTCTTTCGGCTCTAGCCAGCATCCCCCAACACATACCTCCCAGCCTTTATATCGCGCCTTCTCCCCCGGTGCTCCTTCCTCGTCTCCTCATGCTTTCTCGGTTTCCTCGCCTTCAGGGTACACGACCTATAACCCTCACGCGAATGCGACCCCCATGCCCTATCCCGAAAACACCAGGCCTCCCAGTCTGCTGCAAAGCGGTAAAAGGCCCACGGTCAATACTTCTAGCAATCTTTGAGTATGACCCTCGTCGATCGAGGCGGTTTTATGAACAGAACGTTTCCAAGTTCTAAGTGTTTTCCTCTTTTCTCTTCCTCCTTTTTTGATACCATTCTCAGGTTGCATTTGTCCTCCTTTATCTCACATGTTTACGTACCATACATGACCCTGGGCTAAAATTTAGCTTGGAATTAAAGAGCTGTCTCAGTTTTTCATCATTTCTCTCACTGCACTCTTTTGCATCCTTGAATCGTCTTCGGTCGACTCGTTTGATAGTCTTATAAAGCAGCTTTTCGGGCACAATGCGCGTTTTTGCCTAGCAGTAAATGTCCCGTCCTTTGATTCACCTTGATTACAATTGACGATATCTCGAGTTACGAGTGTTCAAGATTTTTGATTAGGATATGTTGGGTTTGTACTATGTAACCCTGGGGGAGGGGAGTAACAACAACGGATGGCCACTTGACTAACCTCGTGCCGGAATATATGGATCATGGATCTGGCGTTAAGTATCGAGGAGATCGCGATTCGGGCCGAGCACTGTCAGGCTGCCTTCGGAAGCTCACACATCCTAGAATCGAGCATCCTAGTGTAGACCGACACGTTGGCATCGCTAGAATCTTTGTTGGCGGCATTTTCAAAGCATATTCCCGTAATTTTCCATCTCTAGCTGAGACGGCCTGGGAAGACGCGTGAATATGGGCACAAATGTATCTCTTGTGTGCATTGCGCGTAGAATCTGTAAATTTTGAACTCATTTGTCACATTTCATCGTAATTTACACAAATGGGGAGCTTCCGAAGACGCTCCTGATCGAAGGATCGCTTAATCCGCACACCACACATGTGTCATGTACGAACTTGGAAGCGAAGAAGAAACTTGCCGATCTTAAAGTTTACTCCTCCATCTCCATCGCAAAATCATGTTTCTTGAAAGCTTCCTTGAAAGCCTCAGCATCCTTGGCCTCCTCGTCATCCGTCTGCACACAGTCCCTCCAGTTAATACGCTCATCCAGATAGAGAACCTTACCCATAACCCGACGACCGAATTGCAAATCAAATCGGTTCTCCGGCAGGATTTTCATAATTATAACGTTCTCTTCTCCAGATTCAGTCTTCCAAACGCCTTTGTGCTCGGGTGACGACCAGTTATCGGGTTCAGCTTCAGCTTCAGTGCTAGGCACAGGCGTCCAAATAAAGACTCGGAAGTAATCAATCATATGGTGATTGTGGATTTCGTCGGGGTTTGGCACGGTCTTGAACTTCGAGTATTCCAGATTCGAGGCTTCCTTCTTGAATGCCATTTCCACAAGCCGGGAGCGAATCTTCTCTACTGGCATCGGCAGGAATTGCCAATGTGTGTGGATACCGTTTGAGCGGCTGAGTTCCCATGTGACAGCCCCCAGCTTGCCCCCTGATCGCTCGTTCAGCGTTTGGTGCAGGGATTCGCGGTATCGTTGCATCTCGGCGAAGGTCGAGGCCCGGATGGCCGGGTCGAATATTAGGTCGATAGTCGGGCAGTGCTCGAAGGGGATGATGAGCATGTGACCTGGGAAGCCCAGTGAGGGGTAGAAATTTTTGGTGGGCAAAGGTCCTTTGGCAGTGGTGACGTAGCTGTCATTGCCGATTGAGGTAATGAGATGAGTGGCGATGTTAGGATTCGAGAGGCAGAAAAAACAGTTCTCGGGGCCTGGCGGAGGGGCGCGTTCTTTGTGTCGGCGTTGATGCCTCGGGTCTCTATCTCTGTCGGAGGGGGCGTAGCGCTGGTATGATTCATTTTGACTTGGGAGTGTTTTGCGCCTGCTTTGCACCGCTGACCATGGGCAGATGGTTGAGCCTGGGGGGATGCTGCTTGGGAAAGGTGCTGTTGGGTCTAAGGTAAAAGCATAGATGGCATTTTTCGTCGAGCCAAAAGTAGGCAATGAAATAAACCGAGTGAGTGGGTAGACATCTTGACCCTCCTCCGTTGGCATGTGAAAGAAGGGTTCACGCTCGAAGAAAGCACCGTCTGACCGAGAAAAGTGATAACGGGGTTTCAGAGTCGCGCAGACATCAGCGATGCACTGTAATTCAGATGGCACAGTCCCGTCATCCCCAGAAACCTCACAGCTAGATCCTAGACGGACATCCTTCGGCCATTGATTGGTGATAAGAATGTCGGTTTTGTGAGTCCCAAACAGTGCACGAGCGTCGGATTCACTGTATGTCGGCTGGAACTTGCCGCTAGCATTGCTTTCGGGTTTAGACCTCCCCTCTGCCTCTCCCATGATTCCACCGAGGGCGACAATGCGGATACCATCTGTTGTCTTCAAGGTTCCTCGCTTTCCCAGGAAGAACAAGTTGGGGCACACTTCATCAGTTGCTTCAATCTTTTCGACCACTTGAGGGGGAAGCGGTCGGTTACCAAGGGTGAAGTAGGTTGGGCATGCCACAGTTATTTTCCCCTCTATTAAGGCGGTAATTTCCTCAAGTTCGTCTTCAGTCAAGCCATCACCGAAGAGGTCGCCAAGAATGATCGCAAAGGAGAAATCCTGTTTTGGCTGCAGCTTGGCTAGCTTAGTGAACACGGGCCGTATTCGACCGTTCAAGCTGCCAATTACAATACTACCCATTGATTGGATTAGTGACTGGTATACACGCAGACCTAAACATACATACCATTTGGGAGCCATTTTAGGTCTGTCTTGGTGGTGGGTTGTGTTGGGTGTGGAAAAAAAAACCGAAACTTTTGATGGAAAGTGGATAAAAAGATGGTGGAAAGGTGGAGATGGGAAGACGAACGACCCTGAAATGAATGAGAAAATTTCCAACTCTCAAGCTGCCCAAAGGTGCTAACAGAGATCAACTACATGAGACTAGATGCAGGATATGTACGAAAGCAGGAAGCTTGAGCCATCTTATCAGCACGTGATATTAGGAGATATCCGTCTCGGAATAATGAAATACCGTCCCGAATAACTTTTTTGTATTCCATGCGGATCAATCCCAAAAAAGTGACCAGTACCTTTCTCACGAACAGTGCTGCTCGTCAGAACCGTCAAGATGGTGGGGACAGGCTCAAAATCAAAGCCTGTCAGGCGCCTGAAAACGGGCACCGAAACCACAAAAAACCATAGATTCGAGGGCTTTTCATCACGCATTACCAAGCTCAAAATCGACCCGATCCACCGCGTGCGCCGCGCCAGTTTCGGCGAAGATGAAGACGAAACTTCCTCTTACTTCCGAGCGGCCCTCGATCATTGGTTCGAGATGAATCTTTCAGACAACTTTACACAATTCGTACGACGTGTCAACCCTCTCTCCGAGAGCTTTGCGCAAGTTCTGTATCATGAAGAAAAGATTATGAGTCTTTTAGTGGAATTCATCGAAAAGAGAGACCAGCTCTCTATGGAGCCGTTGCTGAGCTTGCTTGCGCAATTTGCTCGGGATCTGGGTGTCAAGTTCGAAAAACATTTTGCTACGGCAGTGACACTGGTGTCGTCCGTTGCGGCAACACATCCCGATATTGAAGTCGTTGAATGGAGTTTCACCTGTCTTGCATGGATCTTCAAATTCCTTTCTCGTCTGTTGGTGCCCGACCTGCGACAGTTGTTGAGTATCATGACTCCATATCTCGGAAAAGAACGACAAAAGCCATTTGTGGCGAGATTCGCCGCTGAGTCGATGTCGTTCCTCATCAGAAAGGCCGGCCTTGTTTATTACAAAAACAAAGCACCGCTTGAGACGGCAGTCTCATTCCTCTTCGACGATATCTCGAAAGCCGCCGAGGACAACAAGGATACCGAGAACTACAGGGAAGGGCTGATGACCATGTTTTCCGATGCTATTAGGGGAGTCAACAACGGGCTTCACTCCAATGGCATGGATATCCTCAATTGTGTTCTAGGTCAGATACCGCCGACTAGTGAGAATCACAATGATCCTGCAGAAGTTATATTTGGTCTGGTCGTCAGTCTTGTCCACGCCACGACTCCCGATACCTTCGGACCTATCCTCGACACGGTCAAGGCTTATATCGAAGATCGCTCAAAATCAAACACGAATCCCAATCTTTTGGAGTGCTGCCGTATTATGTTCCTTCTTGTGACAACTCGCAAGGGTGTCAGGATCCAGAACTGGAAGGTCGTTCATCAGATCCAAGTATCCCTACTTCAACAGGTCTCGGGGTCTGATGTATCATCGACAACGAAATCACAGATCCTTACAAGTGTCGCATACGCCCTTCAAATGTCACCCATGGACGAGTTGCTACCTTTCCTTCGCCCTGTTATGGACCTGGTGTCCACAGGCCCGCTTTCAAAACATTTCCTATTCTTCTGCGCAACATTCTCAGAGTGGGGATCAGAACGATTCCAGGGTTTACTTCTTTCGCCTTTCCAGAAGTTCATCAACTCATCGTGGCAAAAGTCAGAGTGGGAGACTTGTTTCACCCTGCTACGCCTGCATGAGGCTGGTTGCATCACCTCCGAGACCTTGCAATCTGGCTACATTTCCTGCCCAGATGCCTTCAAATCTCGCATAACTAATTCATTGGAATATCCCACAAAAGATGAAGCCTTATTGAATGCGTTGGTGAAGCTTCCAACAGCTATCTCTTTGTTTGCAGATTCTGCCACATTGTCCAAGATGGTTTTTAAGCTGCACAGTAACCTCCTATCAGCGTTCGAAGATGGTGCAGCTGAAGGCAATAACGCTCAGACGAAGGGTCTGGTGTTTTTCCTTGGTCAAGGATTCAAGACGTATGTCGAACTTGCTAACAAGGTAGGAGAGCTTGATTCGAATCTCCTGAAACCAATTATCGCCACTGCCACAAGATTCTCTCGCCTGCCAGTATTTTTGGAGGGTGCACTTGCCTTCATTTCCTCTCTCCCAGAGTCCGCGGACCTCGAACATCCCACCCTGGAAAACTTTGCCCAAGATTTAATCGTGAACTTGGCAAGCCCGTCGCACAGGCTGAGGCTGGTATCTCTTCAGCTTCTACGAGAATTGATTGTTCGCATTGCCAAAGACGACCCCTCGC